ATTACATCTTCATTAAGTTTCGTCTCCACAGCTTGTTGATACGAATATTGGTGGTCTGAGTCCTTAAGTTTAGCTACATCAATCTTCTTCTTTGGTCGTTGGTGGTGGTTTTTAATCAGCGAAATTCGTGATCTGACCTCGGCAATGCTCAAATAGTGATCCGTGTCCATATTTGCACCTCTATAAGATCTTGCATTTATCATGTTGGACTTGTGACGGGCACTAATGAGTACATGGTCTATCTGTGATGTTGTTTGCCCATTTGGAGAGATCCATGTTGCTTTGTGGATATTCTTTCGAGGAAAAAGAGTTGTTCCAACAACCAGTCCGTGCAATGTAGCAAAGTTCACCATCCGTAGCCCATTATCATTACTGGTCTTATGCAAGCTGTGGGTTCCTATGGTCGGCATGAGTGCCACCTCCTTACCAACTTGGGCGTTAAAGTCACCAAGAATGATTTTAACATCATTTTTGGGGCAGCTTTCTGTCACGCGTCCAAGTTCTTCATAAAATGTTTCCTTATCCTCCTCAGGTGACACCTCTGTTGGGGCATGGCAGTTAATTAGAGAGAAATTAAAAAATTTTCCTCTAAGCCGAATGTAGCATACCCTTTGGTTAATGGGAGTAAATCGCATCACCAGCTGTCGAGCTCTGCCTCTCACAACAAATCCGGTACCGAAGACGTGATGCTTTTCATGGCAACTATAGTAGAGTGTATGGTACTTCTTCTCCATAATTCCCTGTCCTATCCATCGGACCTCTTGGATAGCTGCTATGTCGATTCTATATGTGTCCACTTCTGCAAGGAGCGCACGAAGTGCTCCTAGTCTATGTAATGATAAAATGTTCCAAAATCCAATTCTTAGGTCATTTAGGCGTTTCCTGGGTCTGTTACCGTAATTCAGTCCGGCTTCTTCTCTTTGAGGTTTCGTAATAAGGTACTTTAGGGGGGGTGGGTTATCAGCCCACTGCCTCCGAGTCAGGTAGAGGGGCTGCCTCCTCCGAGCATCCTGACTAGCTGCCCCATCCGGGGCGGCTACCTAGGGAAGGTGACCCTAGGGTGTGTACTGTAGGTGACCTTTGTCTGTAGTGTTTAGGTGTTGTAGTGTGCTGTATAAAGTGTACTTGGTGTGTGTGTTCGTGTAAGTGTTCCCCCAACCTGGAGGGCCAGTGGCTGGTTGCGGTACAATGACCGGGCGATGGAACCGCCACCTCCCTACGCCAAGTAGGTTAGTAGTAATTTAGTTTAAATAATAGTTATAATTATTACCAGTAAAATTTTCGAGGCAAGAACTATATTTGTAAATAAATGAAATATGGTTATGATGAGTTCTCCATCTCGGATATAAAAAAACTAGAGGAACAACTAAAACGTGTGCAAGCCATTGATTTTATAATTGTTATTACGTATTAATCATTACTTTCTTTTCTACAAAATTAAGTTATTTTTGACAGAATTAAGAAGTAAACATTCTGAAATTCTTTGGACAAAGAAAACTCTTCTTTCTTTTTTTACACTAATTTTTTTGGTATATTTAAGTGGAAAAACATCATGAAGTACACATAACATCATCCCATAAGTATCTTTGGTATTTAATTGTGTAATATAAGGAGTAAGATAAAACGAATCAAACACATTCATTCTAACATTTATATTCTTTGTTTGCCATCTTGAAACCAAATTTTGTATACCTTTTCTAAAAAACCCTTTGGTTTTTAATTAAAGACAGCCAACACTTCATTTTTCACTCCATCTACTGAATTCATGTTCTCCTGCCTCTTAATTAGTTTCGGAGACTTGAAAAAGGTGATAATCTGAAGACATGAATGAAGGCACTAAGTCAGGAGAATATGGTGGATAAGGAATAATTACCTATCCAAAATCCTTCAATTTTTGTTGGAAGGATTGCGAGGACACAACATGTGTCTTCGCATTGTCATGGTGGAATAAAATGCCTTAACTATTGATTAAGAATACGATATGTCTCGGCGATAAAATCTTCCGTTGATTTCAACATTTCTAATAAAAATGTATCCATATGTACGTCATGAAGAACTGTGTAGAAAAAGAGCGGTCTATGACATTTCAGGCCAATGGCCCTCAGAGTAGGGAGTCGAAGTAACAATTTCGCAAACCGCAAGGGATCCTCTGGATAGGTTGAACATGTATATTTTTCTAGTGATAAGTAGACTTTATCCCTCAGAGCTTCAACTTCTCCTGCTGACTTCAATTCCCCAACTCCTGTGAATTATAATATTAATTATTTTAAAAATATACAAGAAAGAAAGAAAGTAAATTTTATTCTGGGATATTTACTCTCCTCAGAATAACTAAAATTAACAAAGGAAATGACAATTGTCTGGCGATTGTGAATAATTAAATAACAATTAAAAATGAATTAATTTACAAAGTTGTCTAACCTTAATATTAAAATAAAGAAAAATGTAAATTTTTTATAATATTAAAAATTCTTAATATTAAGAATACAGACACTGTAGTAAACATATGTTCTTGAAGTAGACATATGAATTTAAAGATGATTACAGACGGGTGAATTCACGTATTTCTACAAATAAGCAATATGACACATACACAGATATCGATAAAGTGTAACTGATATGTCTTAGTTTTTTTTTTTTTTTTTTCCTATGCCATAGTCATTGATCATTCGACCATCCGACATCTTGCTGCCCAATATAATTTTGATTTTTGTATGTAATCATTTACATATGTTTGATTCATCAAAGCAGGACATAAAGTCAAGCAGGATATGTCTTAAGTACAAAATAACTTTATTTTACATTTATTGGAAGATTGATTAATGAGGAGAAGGAAAAATAAATTATGTTTAAATTAGATCAAGGATGATGATTTCCATAAAGAACTTGGTAGAATTCCACAACGAGGTAGCACGTATGACGAAGGATTTTTTAAAGGAAACAGTTCTATGAGAAGGAATAAACAAATTTGAGGATTGGGATCTCGTGTTGAACTAATGAACAGAGGAACAAGGAGTAAAGAAATCAAGAAGGTAAGAAGATTTTTTGGTTGTAAAGATTCGGAAAAGGAATATACCTAGGAAATATTGCCGTCGGAAAACTGGATAGAGCCACTTCAACTCGACATAGCAACTGGAGACGTGGGAACGCCTGGGGACTCCAAGTATAAATCTGATGAAGCAATTCATTAGCCTCTTTAATCTGATCTCAAGCCCACCAGACAGTCCACCGTATACAAGGCAGTCATAATCGAAGTGAGGGAAAATGAGAGAGGAAATTAGGAGCTGACGGATTTTAAGGGACACAGAGTCACGGAATCTTAGGAATTGTTTGAGGGTAGCAATGGACTTTCGGATAATTTGGGAAATGTGATTATTCCAAGACAGATCCCATTGGGGCAGAGAAGAAGATAATAAGAAATAAGGTTAATCAGATGCTTGGATCCGATGAGAACGGCTTTGGTCTTCTCAACATTCAATTTTAAATCATTGTTTGCCGCCGAGGTATCAATACTGTCGATATCTTCTTGTAGCATTCGGATCGCCCCAACCATCTCGGTAGGATGGAAGGAAAGGTAGATTTGGAGATCGTCCGCATATAAATGGTGTTGTGAGGGATGAATGGAATCAAGAAGGAGAAAATAGTTACGGGAAAGCGAAGATCCCTGAGGAACACCACGAGTTAGTAAGAGGGAGGAGGAAGGAGTTTTATTGTGAATGATGAATGCTTGAGATCCTTGATACAAAAAAGAATGGAACCACTTTAGAGCACTATTCGATATGGAAAGGTTTAAGGACAAAAGGAGTCGAGGTTTAAGAGACAAGGGTTACAAGTTGAAATGAAAATTAAGTGAAAGGTTTTGTTGATTTTTAATAAATACCTACATTTCAATCAAATTATACATGAGAAAAGATAACAAATTGCAGATTATGATATATTGAATTACTTTAATTTAGTTAAAATCAGGGGAAGTTCCTTTTTTTAACTCCTTTATAATTGTCATTTTATAGATAAACGTTTTAAGGAAATCAACAGAACTTTTAAATAAAAGTTTATAAAGACAAAAAAAAATCTCTAAAACCTTTGCTTGAAAAGTTGCAAGGGAAAACACTTTAGTTTCGAAATAACCGAAAAAAAAAAACAATTAAAAAATTAATTTTATCTAGTTAGGGTTATAATTTATAGAATATTAAATTAAATAGGACCAATACCACCATCACATAATGTAGAATTGCATCGCAGTGTAAAATTAATAGTGGTTATCTTATAGATAGCTTGAAAATGGCTTACCAGCCGAAACTTAGCTGATGTAGATTGAAATAAGTATGGTGAAGAAATAAAACACAGCCTTATTTTATAGTAATATATGAACGCATTAATGGGATGATTAATTCTTAAATAAATGTTTATTATGTGAATAATTTATATTAGTGAATCAGAGAATTCTCATATCAGAAAAGCGTTATCAGTAGACACTGATCTGTATTTTTGTAGCAATAATTTTTGTTTACTGAATGCTCATGAAATATCTTTTTGCAAATCTCAATTTAGTTTTGAAACATGTCGCAAAGTCACCAATTATTCTGCTTCGATGTTTGAACATCTTCAACAATAACTAGAGGTGCCCAGAAGATGGTTTTATCACGCAAGTTGACGGAGGCATATATTGATGTGATCGCGAATTTTCGCCAGGATTGCGAATTTTCGAATTGTAAAATTTCAAACCGGGAACACATGGAACAGGCCACAGCAAGTATAATCAAATATGGTAGATGATTTTTCTAATTATATTTTTGCCTGCACAGTTTTTCATATAAGTGGAAATAAATAAAATTTCTTGAGGGAGGGGAGGAGTTCCTGCACCATCGACCTAGGGGGACGGACACCCCTGACAGTAACATAACTTTCGTCTAATAATTTTTGAAAATAATGTTGATGCCTTATGTTAATCAACAATAAAGTGATCCTGGATGATTCATTTTAGGAAAGAAGTTAAGGAATTAATCTGATATTAAAATCCAATAATGAAAATGTAATCTATAATAAAAATGAGATATGTAAACAATACCAGAAATGTTTATAAAATATATAAATTAGAACACTTACCTGGATTATATAATATTATAGCTCTCAGGCAACCAAGTGCTGCTTTATCTATCTTAATTTCTCTCATTTTTGGAACTACTTCAGTAACAACTCTGTCGAAGATTATTGTGTCAAAACCAACATGTTCAGCGGTATTTCGATTAATTGTTACTCCAGAACGTAAAACTATCTCCTCCCTATAACGGACAGAGCGATGAGAAAATCCTGCTAACAGTAGCTCATTCCAACCTACAAAAAAAAAATTAAGAATAAAACTTGAAAATGTTATCTTATCATAAGAAATATTAATAAACGTGTCTTCAAAAATTAAACTGTAAGCGAAGATAAATACTATTAAACAATATTTACCCTTTCTGAGAAGGAGTAATTGATCTTCGATTGGTAAAGACGTAAAATGCGGTATTTGTTGAGCCCATTCAATAAGGTGAACCAGTTGTTTTTGAATTTCTTCAAAAAGTGTATTTGCATTCTAAAACATATTAAATTGGGTATGATTATTAATTTTATATATGTACAAGTAATTAAAAAAATATATATTTAGGAGATATTATAGTTATAGTTGTTGTGGAGACTTTGTGAAGAGCATAAATTATTAATTGAATGATGGATGCTGGACTATTGTAATAGTTATGAATAATAATTGGTGAAAATATTATTTAATTTTATGCCTTAAATATTTAAAATTTCATTCATTAATTAACAATCGAACTGTTCATTATCCTTATCATGTAAAAACAGCAATTCGACAAGTAATACCTCATAATTTTCTATACGCTCCACTCTGATATCAATTCTTCTTTCTGCTTCTAAAATCATTTCAATTGGCATACCTGAGTGAAAGCTACTAATACTTTCAAGCTCATTTTGAGTTCTATCTTTCATTTGCTGTCTTTCAAGCTCATTTTGATATCTCTCTTGCATTTGCTGTCTTTCAAGCTCATTTTGATATCTCACTTGCATTTGCCGTCTTTCAAGCTCATTTTGATATCTCTCTTGCATTTTCCGTCTTTCAAGCTCATTTTGATATCTCTCTTGCATTTGCCGTCTTTCAAGCTCATTTTGATATCTCTCTTGCATTTTCCGTCTTTCAAGCTCATTTTGATATCTCTCTTGCATTTGCCGTCTTTCAAGCTCATTTTGATATCTCTCTTGCATTTGCCGTCTTTCAAGCTCATTTTGATATCTCTCTTGCATTTGCCGTCTTTCAAGCTCATTTTGATCTCTCTCTTTCAGTTGCCGTCTTTCAAGCTCATTTTGATCTCTCTCTTTCAGTTGCCGTCTTTCAAGCTTATTTTGAAATATCTCTTTCAGTTGCCATAATTGAAGCTCATTTTGATAACTCTCTTTCAGTCGCTGTCTTTCATTCTAAAAAGATAAATTAAATTAAAATATTTTCCAAATCTCAAGAAATAAAAACGTTTCATAAAATAACATACTAAAAAAAAATATACATTCATCATATGTTCGGGCGGCATCTTGAAAGAAAATGCCGGGTTCATAGGACCATCTTCGACTGTCCTTTAACATTGATATCGAATATCAAAACAATCGGTCGAGTAATCTCTGAGAAAAGCCGCGGACTGCGCACTGTGGTTCAGCAACGAATATAAACACCTTAAAATGTGAGCATTTCAATCATACTTTTTGTACTATATTATTTTTCCTTAACATCCCTAGAACGAAGTCTTGTAATTATTTTCTCCAGTTTCCCCCTACATAGCCCTTAAAAACACAAATTAATGAACAATTTTCAGTGATTTTACAAACAATTAACGGATATTTACAGATATTTTGAATAAATATTTTCAGGTCTTAATAAGAGAGAAGTTATTTGTCTTTGAAATGTCTCACTTACGGACAAATAAATATTTAAAAAATTAAATTTGGTACAGTCTTACAATTCGTTGGTTTCATTGTTATAACTATGTGAACATCGAAGCGTAAAGTATGGATCAGGGGTGTCCAGAAGAGGGTTTGATGGCGCAACTAGCAACATATTTCGGTGGGAATATGAATTTTCGGTAAGAAAAGTTTTCTGGCGGTTCCCGCCACTTGCTACAAAGGACAACTAGTTCACCTGCCCGCTGCCTGGCAGTGGCTGGCCACATAAGCTCGATTGTGCAATGTATCAAAACATGAATTTTTTGTTTCTTATTGTTATATGATAAAATACTCAAATTGTAAATTGAAACATGTATATGCATTGTAAATAATTTTTATAAAATAAATTGTTGTAGTTTAATGGCGATAACATATACTGATCAAAGCTTAAAAATAACTGTAATTGTAAGGGCTCTTGATAGCAGATTTAGCATGGCGGCATGAATACAGTCCTTATTTTCATGTTGAATCGAAATGATGACGTTAAAGTCTTCGAATCTTCATTCTTGACGTTGTAGACATATGATCATTATATGCCTCATATACGGTTTTGGTTCCCATCATTCTGCCTTATATTGCACTATGTATAGTTGTCTTTTGTCCTCTTCTCTTACTCCATGCATGTCTGGATGCTTGTATTCCTCCATACCAAGTCAGGCATTGATCCCTCCGTTAGTATTTCATCCTCCCATGAAATCGTGAGATTGATCTCTCAGTTTGTGATTACCATCCCTGCGAAGTGTTAAGGTTGATCCCATACACCGCAGACCAAGAGCGATCAGGTGCTGATTCGCCTAACACTTAAGGCCATCCTTCAACTTATCTTCCTCCATTCACTCAGTCATTGGACTGTCTATATTGAATACGCTTTGTCGAGGCCTTCTGGTAACTTGCATACTCTGCACTACACCTCAACTGTTTCAAACTAACGGAAAAGGGAAAACAAGGAAGAGAACCACAGTAAGTATAACCGTATATGATCTACGAGTATTCTCATTATAACTTCACTTGCTCTGTTTTTATGAATAGGTGAGCAATAAAATATATTTGGAGTGAGGGTGGGATAGGTTCTTGCGCCATCGACATTAGGGAGGTCTTACCATCCTTGGTAAGTATAAACCCAAAATAAACTATTAGCTACACGGTGGGACTTATCCCATTCGACAGTAGATTTCAAAACGTAAATACTATGGAAAAAAATGTTAGGATTAATTAATTAAGGTTATTTGTTATTGTATATACTACATACAACACTGTTACTGGCAACACTGTTAGATGTGACGTCAGTGATCTGTACTATGTTTACACCCTCGATATGGCTTCTATGTTTGTAGTGTTATTTCACAATAAACGTTTCTTATTGTCTGTGATTCTGTCCCTGAGACAGATTGTAATATATTTCAATAAATCAGCTATTAGAATAAAAAAAAAAGAAAGAATTGTCTGTGATTGTTTCTTAAAGAAACCCTAACCATTATTAACAAAAAATACTCGCTGATATTCTCTTATTTAAAGGTACGTTCTGATTGCACGTGATTGTTCTGTGTATACATTTCATGTAAAGTTAAGAAAATTTTAGCTGAGAAATTTAATCAATCACCTTTTCATCTAAATGAACATTATTAACACTTTGCTCACATTTATACGAATAAGAGATCTATTACAGAAGATTATTAGTTCATTCGAAATTATTCACAAGATGTTATGTTAGGTTTTGATGTACTGGAAATATTTTCTAATACAATTTCATAGAAAAAAAGGTCTTTCATTCTGCAAAGAAATAGAAATCTTTCGTGATTTAATTAATCAAAAATCTGTTTGTTTTTCAATTTGAATAACGATTAATGTTTGTATCGAATTCAAAAACATTTTTTCAATAAAATTTTATTTTTTTAGATTGAAAGGTAATTTATTTATTTATTTTTTTTAAATTTTAGTAACTATTTCAGTAAAATGTTTTATCGTAATTTTTACAGCTTGAAATCGGTTCTCAAATCTTTATTAACGGTTTGCGTTTTGAAATTATCGTTGGAAATTCAACTTTCCATTAGCCTTTGCCCAATTGCCTTGTTCCTCAATTTAAATTTTATGGAAACATAATAGTTTTAAAAAAATAAAATAAAATAATAAAAATAAGTAAATAATGGTAAAACCACAATTCTCAACAGAGCTTAAACTTGTTTTTATTTATTTTTCTAAATAATAAAAGATAATTAATTATTTAAAATAAACTAAATTAAAGGTACTTTAGAGGAAGACATTTAAGCATTTAAACTCTGTAAAGTGACATCAGGATAAGACCTCAATTACATTAAAGACCACTTAATTATACAATGATACACCGAGTTAAATCAAAATCGGCGGGATCATATAAAGTGGCATTTACAGTTAACCGATTTACAGGAAAAAGTTGCTGTAACATCTCGTGCATATACCTATTTTAAATACGTAATATCAGTTTCTTACGATTTTTCGTTTTTGAGCTTAACTGTTAACATCCACACTCAGACTATTTTGTAAGGCTTGGTTATTTCGACTCACAGGACGCGTATTTCCTTTGAAATCCGAGAATCGAAAATTTTTACGTTCGGAATACTTTCTCTTACAATATATTGCATATACAGGCAAGTGAACTAATTGGATCAAGCAGAAATTTCGCAATTTGCTGTTCGGTTAAATTGGTTACACTTCACTTAAGATATGAAAGAGACCTATATATTTGACATTAATGCATTGCACTAGCGGATCCAAGACTTAATTTTGGGGGAGGCTTCAGCCCAAAGAATTTTTTTCACATATACACTGGCAAAAAATTCCATAAGCAGGCAAAAAATTCCACCCACTTGTCCACGCTATTAAGGAACCATGTTGGAAAGGTTGGCTCTGGGAAAAATTACAGGCTGCATATCTTTCGTTTCTTCTTCTCCACACCCTTTCACGCCCGCCTGGAGATCGAAGAGCGAATCTTGACTCATCTGTAAAAAGTACAGCACTCCATTCGTCCATAGTCCAATGGCTGTGTTCTCGAGCAAAAGCCAGCCGTGTTACTCTGTGAGTTTTGGTCAACTCTGGTCCTCTTACTGGACGAAAAGCCATTAATCCATACTCATTTCATCTTCGCCATGCGGTACGTTCAGAAATTTACACACCTCGAACTTCTTCGAGCTGATGAATCGCTTGAACAACGTAAGGTGCCGGTTTCGTAAAATTCTCAAAGTCAAAAACCGGTCATCCCGTGGTTCTGTTACCCGAGGCCGTCCAGAACCGGACCTTCTAATGTAAAAACTGATGGCGTCTAGTAAAGTTTCATATAGAACTCCGATGGCATTAGCTGCATATCTAATGGAACGTCCATCATCAATAAGTGCCACACCACGCGCAACATCCTCAGCACTAAGAGGCATTTTTAAACTTAATATTGAAAAAATTAAAAGTCGGAGACTAAGAAATGTGCTGCAAGAAACGGCACTGAACTAATAATACTGAATAAACATTTTGATTCCATAGAAAGTAAACGTTGGAATCTAGAATCATTTCATTGAATTAAGGATTAAGGGTTATTGTCCTCTATATTAACATTCCTAATTGAAAACAAACAAAAAGATTACCTATTTATTCATTAAAAAGAATAGACCAATCCAAAGCAGAAATATTTTTAGATGAAAACATGAAAAAATCAAGTGGGTGGAATTTGTTGCCTGTCAGTGTATAACGATAATTAATTTGAAAAAAAAAGAAAGAAAGAAACTAACCACCCATATGACAGTGTGTCTTAGTGATTCTTGAAGTGCTATTAAATGTAATTAAACGAACAATAATAGTTTAAGAGATAGTTTTTAATATTTTTTTCTATAAAACATGGTTATATTTTACCATTTGGGGGGTCCAAAATCCCCTCTCCCCCGTAGATCCGCCTGTGATGCATTCCGGGAGCTTTACTGATTCTTGTTTTATAAAAAATCTCTCAATATTACCATATAACCTACAGGACTACCATGGGACAGTACGCTTCCAAATCAGAAGTGGTAACAGTTATGGCCAGAGAGGATTCGACTTATATTTCATGATGAAATCATCTTATTACTAAAAAAAAAATTTATAAACTGGCTTATTTCTAATTTAAAATTTATAAACAAGGTGATCAGTTCCTTTATCGACTGAATATTGTACCAATGTGAGTTCTTTTTATGACATAATTTTTCTCAAAAGGGATGCGGATTGTTCATCATCATTAGAATCAATCCTTTTATACTGTTTGTGTAATCTAAGGAAGTTTATATTCGTTTTTCCACCCCGGCTGGTCTCTACTAACTGCCTAGTTCTTATTTTGTTCCACCACAGTCCTCCTTTTCACTTTGTCTTTCCAATTTATGATTGGTATTTCTTTTCCTCTTTGGATGCCAACCTTGGTCTGACAAATCTGACTACCAATTCTTCATATAGGGTTTGACATAATAGTTTTTTTTTTTTTTTTTTGTAAATTGCCATTTGAAAAAAAAAGTTACATTTGTTGTAAAAATAAATATATAAAAATAATTATAAGAAAAACTCTGGATACCTTAACTGCTTCCCTCTTCATGCCCATTGCCAAACATCTTTGATATCTGCAATATTGGCATTTATTCCTTTGATCTAGATCTATCATACAATTTTTATTTTCACAAGTAAAAGATAAATCTCTACCTATTGTTCTCCTGAAAAAACTATTACAAGCTAGACAGCTGAAAACAAAAAGAAGAGATATTCAGTTTATTAATAAATGTTATCTCCTCAAAGGTGGACTGAACTTTTTGTGAGCAATATCTTTACTACTTACATCAGTACTACTGTTCAATGACATTTTTGTATAGAATATTTAGAAGTAATCAATTGAAAATATAATTATTATTCTTTGAAAACAATGATTAATTATTATAGCATTTTATGTATAATTTCCAGTCACAAGATAAGAAGAATAGTTAGAAGAAATAACACTTTATACTATACTGGTATTGCTACTGGTGGGGAGGACTAGTCCAGCAAATGGGCCATATCTTGTGAATTACTTTCCACTATCTTAAAATCCCACACTAATGATTACGGTCCGGATAATAACTCAGTAAAACTAATAAAACCCAGCCTTCTAGTCCTTATTCCTCATCTCTACCATATCTACAACTTTTCATTGCAAAACTCCATCCTCCTGAAAAACTACCCTTGTCCGAACTTTGAATAAAATTTCCAACCCCATCTCACTGCACGACTTCCGTCCTATTTCTCTCCTATCTAACCTTTCAATGCCATTAGAACGCCTCGTCCAAAATCAACTCTCCAACTTTCTAGAGGAACATTCCCTTATGAACCCATTCCAATCGGGCTTTCGACCTGGCTACTCAACGCTATCCGCTCTCCTTAAAATAATCTCTGACCTCCAAAACTCCATTGAACACCAAAACTTTGCTATCCTCAAACTTCTATATTTTTCTAAAGCGTATGACACAGTCGACCATAACATCCTCCTTACATAATTGCCTAATCTATACAACAGTGCCCTGCGTTGGTTCAAATCTTTCCTTTCAAATCGGTCCCAGTATGTGGTCGTCCCAGGTCAACCTCCATCTAAGACCTTCCTCCTCTCCTCTGGTGTCCCTCAAGGTTCCTCTCTATCTCCTACTCTGGTTGATATTTATATTCTGATCCATCGATCCCAATACCATATTTATGCCGATGTTTTCCAAACATACCTGTCCTTCCTGCCCTCTGACCTATTATCAGCCACAGAAAACTTCAAGAAGATTTGGATCGGATTTTTGACTGAGCGAGTGCTAATAAGTTGAAGTTGAATGCTCAAAAGATGAAAGCAATCTTAATAGACTCCAACCACCTTCTTAAAACTGTTCTTAATATTTCAACTCTGTCCTTAAATGATAATCCCATAAAATTTTTGCCATTCATCAAAAACCTTGGAATAACCTTTGATCAAATGCATTCCTAGAAAAAACCTCTGTTTAAGAAGCCTCTGTTTCCCATTTTTGTGCAGAATTGAAGTGGCTTTATTCTTCCAACTGTGGTAAGTATTTCCTGGCATCCTTCCTCTTTCAAGCCATTCAATCCCACCGCCCTTCATACATCTCCGAGATCCTTCAATTCAAATCCTATGTTCGTTCCCCCAATACTCGTTCCCGGTCTTCTGATTCATACATAAAGGCCCACCGAACCGCTGCTTTTCGACATAATTCAATCCTCATCCTTATGGAACTCCATTCCTCCCCACATCCGTCAATCCAAAACCCTTCCTACCTTTAAATCCCGCCTGTTCAATTATTTCTTATCCATCCTGTCCCCATAAAATTGTAAATAGGTACTACTGTAAAAAAAAAAAACCTGTACCACTACAACCCCATGAAGGGTCTTGGGTTCAGTAGTATTTAGGGGAAGCACTGTTTCTTGGTCTACGGTTGTGCAAGGAGGTGATTTCACCGAGATCACGCTTAACCATCAGGTTTTTCCCCTTAATTAATTATTTTAATTAAAGGTACCCACTTTATAGAGGCTGCGTGTGCCCCAGGAGGATCTTCCTACCGAGGAGCGCCTCACGGCTAATGAAGCAGAATGAATAATTATTCTGCCTGGAGCCAGAATTTGAACCTGGGACCTTTAGCATTAGAAGCTCAGTACCCTACCACTGAGCTACCCCTCTACCCCAGGTACTACTGTAAATATGTATATAAATTATTAGATTGTTCTTCATTATTTTTTTTTCTATTTTTTATTATTAACTGATGGAAATTAGAAAGTAACTTACATTTTTTAAATTTTGTATTATGACTAATTACTCTGGATTTTTGTTTTGGTATCTCTAAGGCTCCTTAGCCCACATTTCTACCTTTCTGTATTATTCTAAAGGGACTCGTCCCAGAATAAATAAAGTATTATTATTATCTGGACCTTTTTGCCAACCCGGGACGGCAACTTGAGCTTACTGCCGCGTATTTAATAGAATCGAAATGTTAAAATTCATTTCTCAGGGCATCCGAAACCTGAAAATCAACCATCCCAGGTGGGAATTGAACCTACAACATCCAGAACCGGACACTCTGGAACCATCCCATCCACCACTTCATATTATACGAATCAAATAAATTCTACAACTCAAAGATTTCTATGATTAAAATTTTTTATAACTGAAATAACTTCTGTCAGTAATTTTCATTCAAAACAACTTCATAACAGAGTAACAACTTCAAAATCAAGATCTTAAGTCAGGAAATTTAGAATTAATTTATTTTTCTTAATTTTTAAAATAAAACCCACTCTATTCTTATATAAATATTTTTTTAAAAAGTAGGTGGAAAACTTATATTTATAGATGATGTTGCAGTTTTGCGTAACAACCACAATCTACCTCATCTAATCAATTTATCATGACATTAATTCTTTTAAAATTATGATAAAACAGTAATATACTTGTTATTGTAAAAAATAATATTACTTTTAAAAAATCAATGTAAGTAGGTCAGACTCTTGTTTTTAATGGATACAAAAAAAAAAAAATAATAACCTGAAGTGTTATTTTGTGTTGTCACACTCTGCCTTACTCAAAATAATATTAACTCAACAATAGTCTTATATTAAAGTTGTTAATAAATATTCTTACAAGGTAATTCGGTAAGATAACAATAATTTAACAAACCAGTGAACTCCAAAATGCTTCCCTTTGCACCTGTCACCACATATGCTGCAGAAGTGTTTAAAACCACAGAGAGGATGGTCAGGAGGATTGTGAGTAATTAGCCCCACCCCACCACTTCCAAATACATTACAATGTGCCATAACAAATCCCCTGTTAAAAAAAGAAAATAATAATAATAAATTAGATGTATGTGTGATAAAAATTAATATCTATATTAATTTAAACAAATTCTTTTCATTATTTTTTACCTCTATGTTTGTTTCAATTTTATATTCTTTAGAACATACAAAAATATGCCTTCATACTTGTACCTCTTTATTTTCTTAGCGTGACATTTTGGAACTATTATGCTACTATCAAAAATTCAATATAATTTCTTCGATGTACAAAAATTTACACAAGATTCCTGAGAAATAAACAGGATAATTATACGAGCCCGCATTCTTAACCTTTGGACCACATACTGAGGAACAAATCGATGAACAGGAGTGTCAAATAAGGTTCAGTAACATTCTGAGAATAAAACCAATAAAAATAGTATAAAGTATGGAAAAAAAAAAAACTAACAGGCAGGAGTTAATCTAGAGTAGTAGAAAATTAAGAATTTAATTTTAGGAAGGTCTATAAGTTTTTCAGAAGAATTACTCTGGAAGAAACAGAGAGAAATTATAAAAAAATATTGTGGCTAGATAGTAGATTGTAGTAAATAATTGAAAAGAAGATTGGTTGGAGTGATCAGTAAAAAAAAAGTAAAAATAAATATTGAATATTTAATAATTGACCGTTGCTTTATAAAGAAAGGAGATGGTCCGGGGTGGTGGTCATAAATAGGCAAAATAGTGGTATAACTATTTTATTAAACACCAACGTTTCGACCCGAATTTGCAGGTCTTCTTCATGACTAGATTGGGCAAGATACAAAAAGATAGAGAATTGTGGAAATTACATAATATTTAGACAAAAAAATATAAACAATGTGAATAAGCTTATTAAAATTAAAAACAGTAAGTATATTAAAATATGAACAGAGTAAGGTAAGTAACAATATCCTAAACTGAAGTAAATAAATGCTAAAAATTGTTGCAGTGTAATGTATAATAAATCAAAATGTGAATATACTTCTACAGATCTACAGGGAGGTTGAAAGAAAAGGGAAAAGGATATAATATGAAATAATAGACATAAAGGAATGTGGAGAAAGAAAGGAAAAAAATAACAAAAAAATTAAATAAATAAGTAAACAAAATTAGAAAAATAAAATTAGAGACTTACAGGTGTGTTCAGCTAGGAGTTTCACTTAGAACTGGAACTTGTATTCATTTTACTTTTTAACCATGTCTCATTAGTATCTAATATTCAAATGTAATTATCTTACATATATACAACCAAATATAATTATATAATGTAATATAATTTTTTGTCTAAATATTATGTAATTTCCACAATTCTCTATCTTGTCCGTTCTAGCCCTGAAGAAGACCTGCATGGTCGAGTCGAAACGTTGGCTTTTAATAAAATAGTTTTGCCACTATTTAGCCTATTTATGACCGCCACCCTGGACCATTTCCTTCCTGTAAAAATAAATAAATTATACTAGTTAGCCCGTGCAAATAATTAGCAAAAAATTTTTTTTTTTAGTGAAGAGATAGAAAAACAATATGGAAACTAGTATATGCTATGAATTATGTAAGGAAGGAATTAATATCTTTTCCTTTGTCGAATGTAATATTCCATTTAACATAATAGACCAATATATTCGTACAAATTGCTTTGCTAGGACCTATTTTTAAACGCTGAATGGAACGATAATAAAGGCGATGAAGACAAAATAAAGCATTCGATCATGTGATTTTCTAAATTATTAAAAAAAAAAAAAAAAAAAATGTAAGAACAAACTAATGCCTTTAAGAAATAATAAAGTTAATACATCAGCCAGCAAAAAAAAGTGTTGTAGAACAGTAAATACAATATCTTTAAAGAGGAAGCAATTATTAAGTATACCTAAACTAATGGACTGTGTCTTTGTTAACAATTGTCGAATTTTTAAAGGTTTTTTTTTGTTTTGTAGGTAATTTAGTAATCTTTAGAAAAAAAAAATGCATAATTTTTGAGCTATTCGCAAATAAAGTTAGGTCGGTACAAATTGATTAAATTTTACGAATTTCTAATATATTTTTAAGATTTTTTTTTGTTTTGTAGGTAATTTAGTAATTTTTCTAATTATTACGGTTACAATCAAGAAAAATGCATACTTTTTGAGTTATTAGCAAATAAAGTTTCTTTTACTTCATAACTTTTTTTTTTTAAATTTCGGGGGGATATGACTATCTTTCACATGTGAAGGAGAAGAACATCTTCAAAATGAGTGGTCAATGATTGGATTTGATGAAGAATTGACGAAGTTATGGCGTACCAACAAAAAACACCTTTTAGAGATAATATATAGAATAGAAGAACTGTGCTGAGATAGTCGTCATTGCAACGACTTCACTTTTCATTACGACATTTTTGCCTGTCTCTAACTAAAACATTCATAACTCCTCAGGATCTGATCTTAATTCGATGTTTCTACAACCGTTAGAAAGCTGAATTATCGCTCTCCAAGACCGTATAAAATATTTAGGAAGGATTTTTTATATATTTCTTAAAGATATGTGGAAACAGTTTTTACCTTCCTCCTAATTCTGGATCAAGTGGATACAGTGAGGTTAACAATGCAAGATCAGAATGTTCCTAAATAGAATAGAATTTATTATGTTATTAGAAAAATGACAAAATTAAAAAAAATATGAATAACAAAAAGGATTTATGAACATTACAAAATTGAATATTCCTGACGATGAGGCAGAGCCCTGAAACATTGAATTTGTAAGAGATAAACATGATTAATAAAAGAATTTACCCCAAGAGGAAGATACATTTTTTTTTCATACCTTTAAGAAAAAATAAATTAATAAAAAAAAAGTGTAACTACATTATAATTTTTTTAATACCTTTCCTTAACAAATGCTTACATTATGTAGGGTGAATATATCAGTTATGGACAGATTGGACTTTAAATGTAAATAATAAGCTTTCTTGTTGATTTAAAGGTTTCAGGTTTTCCTAGATTGAAGAACAACACCCTCTATTGACAACTGTATGAACAAAGTTTCCAAAAGAAAATTTGAAAATTTCTATCATTGTTGTTTCTATATTGTTCTTGAGTTCAGTATGTTTCATACCTTTCTACTAACAGTGTTGCTAAGAGTAAGTTGAACATTTATCTTGTCTTATCTGTATCGTTATATTTATAGTTAAATAATGATTTTAGATTTTTTTGAGGTATGTCCATTACTAGTGCAATTGAATTTCGGGGTGTCCATCACTAGTGCAAAAAGATGTTTTGTTCTTTTTAAATGGAGATTATACCTACATAATTGTTTACTTTTTCAATTTTAAAGTGTTAAATAGCAAAATGAGACTCTAGAGATTTTAAATCTCGTACGGAGAACATTATAATTATAATAATTACGGCGTCATAAGTCAAAAAATACACCTCCCTCCCCCCAAAATGGAAAAATATAACCATGTTTTATGGGGAAAAAATTTTTAAAAATACCTCTTAAAGTATTATTTTTCGTGTAATTACATTTAAAAGTACTTAAGGAATAACTTAAACACCATTTCATATAGGTAGTTAGTTTCTTTCTGTTTTTCCAAAGTAATTATCGTTATTTTTATGAAAAAAAAGGTTTCGGGCTGAAGCCCCCCCAAAATTAAATCCTGGATCCGCTAGTGAGTAACATTAAAGAGTGAGGATCGGCAAATATCGGGCGCTCTCGACTGTTTCCGTTTAGGTTCAACCCGTTCTTAATTATCTATGAAATGGTTAATTATTTTAAATTGAAAAAATTAAAGATATTTTAGAGGAAGAAAGTTTGAAAATTAGCCATTTAAGCCCTGTTAAAGAACATCAATGAAAATAAAACCTACATTATATTAAAAAAGCCAGTTAATTTTACACTTATATAATGAATTTAATTAAAATCGCTTTAGCCGTGTTTGAGAAAATCGTGAAAATGTGTTAAATCAACGATATTAGTGCCAATTCCGGTTATCCGATTTTGACTACTAACGTTGCTGTGGCATCAGAGGAATATAACAATAAATTGGCAATTTCACTTTCGTTTTTGAGTTATACTGGACACATACACACACGCACACACACACAAACACAGACTATTTTGCAGGACTTGGTTATTTGCACTCAGGGAACCTCAAAACATGTATTTCCGGTGAAAACTCAGATTCAAAAATGTTCACGATCGCAATACTTTCCATATATTACATACATAGGTAAGTGAAAGTAAAACTTTGGTGTTTCCACTCACATGACTTTCATACTGATTTTAGACAAATGCATACATCATTATCTTCATTAAAAAAAAAAAAAAAATGGAATTACTGTAATCTTCTTGAAAACCGGTCAGAGAACTGATAAGAGATAATAATAATAACAATATTTACATATTGTTAATTCAACCTCGAATACCTTTTGCCTAAAGAAAAGTATAATATTTATCAACAAATTATCAGCAGGAATCAATTTTATTATTAAATTATTACAAAAATATTCAGCTGAACTTTGTTTTTTCCAAATAAATAAAGAGTTTCCAAAAATAATCAACCTACATTTTTCATCTTTAGACTCTAATGAATAAATTTATAAAATTGCCAAGTTTCTTGTTAAATATTCAATTAAACATAGATAAGTTTATACAAATGTTTTATATACTTATTTCAATATTCTAAATATTTTTAATTCAACCCTGAGAAAATTTTAAGCAACGAAAAGCATAATATTCATTAAATAAATAGTCAAATATCCAAGTAATTAAAAAATCTTTATTATTTTATTAACAATATTTTTATATTTACTTATGAAGAAAAATTATGAATCACAATTAAAATTTATAAAAACTAAAAGTACTAGTTTAAACATCATTTTGCACCACCAAATTGATTGTTGAAAATTTAATTAAGTATAGACTAATTTAAAAACATGTGTAAAATATATTTGAATAATTTACTTATTGTTAATTCAACTTTGAAAACCTATTATCTAAAGAAAAGTATAATATTTATTGTACAAAGGAATCAAACATTTAATTATACAATAAACTTTATTTATTAATACATTAAAATCAGGGCTTAATCAACTAATATTGGTTAAAACGTTGGTTATAAAGTTTAATATCGATTTTCTTAAGTTGACTCAAACTAATAATTTTTTCACATCACCGGCTTAATAAACCTGTCATCTTTAAATATATGGACTTGAACTTTTCAAAAAATAAATGTTGGGTCAAATACAGGATTTTAAATCGATAATTACAAATAATTAAAATCCATAATTAAAAATCAATCAAAATCAAAAAAAATTATTTTTTATTATAAGCGATAAAAATCATAACCTGGTCATTATTTGTCAACATAAATTATGCAATTTAAATATAATAATAATTTTTTTAAATCAGAAATTTACATTTTTAGAATAACCTCTATTATATATTTTGAGTTTTGAGAAGTAGGTGGAAAATACTGTTGTCAACTATTAGCAACAGAACATCTTTATTTCCGGTGTTCATTAGAAAGTTTGGATTATAACCTGGCTCTTTTTAAAGCACAAATAAAGCGATTTCAGAAATATAATATTAAAAAATGTGTGCATTAATAACATAAACATACATATTAATATATTAATTTGCGTGTAAAAGTTGGTATTTATTTTCTAATCAAAAAAATTTGTTATCATAATTTAATCATTATTATTTATGTAATAACCCATCCATCACTCAGTTAGTGATCATTATTTTTAATCGAATCAATAAATATCAGAGATCGATTTGAATATTTATTTATTACTTGGTTTATAGGAAAATATAATTATCGAATTTAAACTTGATTAAATATAGTTTTAATTAAATTAAAACTAGACATATTTTAATAACGAAGCTAAAAACAGTTTAGCTGAAACTACAATGCAACCTTTATTACTTTTTGACACTAA